GATGTTAATAATGCTTGGAGACGGCTTGAATGGGTAATGAAGAAAAAGTTTAATTTAAGTTTAACACAACAGCAAAAGTACAGCGTTTCGACAAGGTTTTGTTATCATCAGCCCATTCAAGCCGTCTCCAAGCATTATTAACATCATAGTCTGTTGACACTGGCAACTGAAAGAGAATAGTCTGATTCTAGAAAAAAACTGTTTCCTTCAACTGCTCGTGATTGGACAAGCTTGTAAAATTTAACACTGGTATGTTATACTGCTTTGGAGTTGTGAAGATTCGATTATCTCCAATCGTATTATGCGAAGTACATTACAAAGTTGTCGCATGGCAACCAGCACAGTTTGAAACACTTATTTCAGATACAAAGAATGAGCTTAGAGCGCAAACTATATGACCATTATATGATTGAAAACATGTTACATTGACTCATAAGTTTATCTTTTTTGTACTGGCAGTTAAGTAAAAAATATGGAGAAAAATAAATAAAGCTATGTGCGAACTGCCTGATGTGAGGAAAGTTTCCGTGTCAAGGGTTGAATAACATCCACATTGTTGCTGATCCACGAGGCTGCATTTCTACCATGTTGGACAAGTGCACCTCCAAGATGATCATACAACAGTCCACTGTACTTGTATTCTTCGAAGGTATGTCAAAGAAACAACAGTGACGTTTTGGACTTCTAGTTGTATATCATTTGGTCGAATCTAAACGTTCAAGTCGTCATCATAATTTTCTATCGACTTTCTTACAGTAATCACAAGCCACATTCCTCAACCAGTTTTGTGCACAATACATAAAGTGTTTTTTTTTCAGCCATATTTCGCCAATTAAAGTAGAAGCCGTTAAAAATGTGATAGAGTGTAAAACGTACTAAGGACGTTGAGATATATTTCTTTCTATTGAAGGAATATGTGTGTGTACGTTAAGGCCATGCGGATAAATGGTGAAATCTAACTTTCATATTACTGCTTTACCCGAGTCTCCAACATGACGTCTGTAAAATGTAGGTTCTAAAGTTAACGATTGTTGAATTACTCTCTATTGTTAACGTTCGATTGTTGAAATACTCTCTGTTGTTAACGTTCGATTGTTGAAATACTCTCTATTGTTAACGTTCGATTGTTTATTACTCTCTGTTGTTAACGTTCGATTGTTGAAATACTCTCTGTTGTTAACGTTCGATTGTTTATTACTCTCTATTGTTAACGTTCGATTGTTTATTACTCTCTATTGTTAATATTCGATTGTTTATTACTCTTTTGTTAACGTTCGATTGTTTATTACTTTCTATTGTTAACGTCCGATTGTTTATTACTTTCTATTGATAACATTCGACTGTTTATTACTCTCTATTGTTAACGTTCGATTGTTTATTACTTTATATTGTTAACGTCAAATTTATAAGTTTTAACTGGAATGTATAACAATTACCGGGAAAAAAAGGAAGGCATCATGCGCCGACTTTAGTGTTTTAGGTAAGCCTTGAAACACTAAGTTTGCTGACACGAAGCTTATTTTAAGCCTGTATATTTATTTGCCCTTATTTCCTTCAAAATTCTTTTGAAAACAATTATATACTAACTCTACGCAAGACTGCATTAAGAACATTGTAAAATGTAATAAAACATCATTGTACCGTTGACTTTCTGGTTGGTGATTCTGGCACTGGAGTCTACCTTTAGATTTTATTTTTAGTGTTTACTTAGCTTAGGCGAGTGAGAGTCGGCTAAGCGGAAATTCAGAATTAGTATGAAAATAAATGTACTAATATTAATATCGGACACTGTGGTAAACATGCACCTTTTTATTGACCATCTAATTAGTTTATGGGAGAATACTAAATTCAATTAATTGTTTTATGTGTTCGTATCATTCCTGTTATTTCGATTGTTGAAATATTGTATTGTTAACGTTCGATTGTTTATTACTTTCTATTGTTAACGTTCGATTGTTAATTACCTTCTGTTGTTAACGTTCGATTGTTTATTACTTTCTATTGTTAACGTTCGGTTGTTGAATTTCTCCATTGTTAACGTCTGATTGTTGAAATACCCCATTGTTAACGTCCGATTGTTGAAATACTCTATTGTTAACGTTAGATTGTTGAAATATTCTCTGTTGTTAACGTTCGATTGTTGAAATACTCTCTATTGTTAACGATCGATTGTTGAAATACTCTCTATTGTTAACGTTCGATTGTTGAAATACCCCATTGTTAACGTGCGATTGTTGAAATACTCTCCATTGTTAACGTTCGATTGCTGAAATACTCTATTGTTAACGTTCGATTGTTTATTACTCTCTATTGTTAACGTTCGATTGTTTATTACTTTCTACTGTTAACGCTCGATTGTTTATTACTTTCTATTGTTAACGTTCGATTGTTGAAATACTCTCTAGTGTTAACGTCCGATTGTTGAAATACTCTCCATTGTTAAC